TTCAGACGAAATGGGACAATCTACCTACTGTAAAATACCGTGCATACACCTATTCCACATTAAGCGCCCATTCCCAAATTTGTAAGATCTGAGAAAATAAGCGCAGTAAATTTAGATGTAAAATTGATGACTGGACAAGCGCCCCTCCCCCATTTCTTTGCGATTATCTCCAAAGTTTGAGTGGGCGCTTGCCCGGTATATTACGGTAAGTCGGTCTCTACAGTTTGCATTGCAAAAGCAAACCATGTTTTTATGACAGCATGTGACAAGGAGACTACAGGCATAACCTGAGGTTCTTTTTTAGAACACAAAGCAATTATGTAAAGCAACCCACATTACAGCCAGTACCGTGTCCGAGTGAGGCAAGTTAAATTCTGATTTCTCTCCTGAATGACTATAATAAAGCACAATACACCTAGCAGTGATATAGCATTTCTTTGTCAAAGGCTACCCAGCAGCACGAAGCGAGTAAGGCACAGAACTTCAGTTTTCTAAGACCGGAGAGTGAACCTCTCACAGGGGTAAATGTGCACGAAAAGCACCGCTTAGAAACGTAAAACAATGAGTGTATTGTGGGCTGGACATAGATAATACGATACATATAATTTATGATGCCACCTGAGCGTATGTACAATATCTAGACATTTGAATTTGTTGTCCAGGCAAACATGTTCCCCACTGCTTCATTCTGAGTGATGAGTGCTACTCAATAACGTCATTGCAGCGTGGCGATTTCAAATGGTGCTGTGCCATTGGCTATTTTCACACATTAGAAACGTAGTAGCAGACTTGGAAAAACTACTGTCGCAACGTATACATCCATTCAGCCCAACTAACTGACCAGATAAAATCATAACTAGGGACTTCGCAAACCATCTGAAATTTGAGTTTGAAAGGTTTCGAAAATTTCGAACTTCGTTAACGTTTTAATTTGAAAAGTTGGAAAGTGTCAAACCCTGCTGTGTTTTGAATTTGAAACATTTGAAGATGTCAAGTTTCTGAAAGATCAGGTCCGAAGATTTAATTCTCTTCACAAATTGAATTCGAAGTTTGAAATATTTGAATTTCTTTGCTACTCAAGTTAGAAAAGTTTGAAGAATTCAAATTTCAGTTTGAAGTCTTTGAACCTCAAGGAGCGAGATCAAATGCCACAATTTCAAATAAAGGTTTTAAGGATTTATCTGGAAAAAACGTGAAAGTGCTACGAAGTTAACTGAAAGCGTTGAACATGTTATTTTGTGCCCCACACACTACTTTCTTCTTGGTACAGGGTACTTATGACGATTCTTCTTATTTATCACGATTTATGAAACAAGCCTCAAATTGGTTGGACCGTTCAGCGGCAAGCCTTGAGGCGGTCTGCTGTGCATCAGGAATGGCTACCTGTTTGCAAACTGAGAGCCATACGATAGAATCCCCCCTAAATCAGATGCTGGCATAAAACAACGAAATATACAAGATGATCCGTGCAGACAAAGTCACCATGGCAAGACACCTTGCTTCACGAAAGTTTGTAATTGCTCTGGGCGTTTATTTCCAGTGGGAAGGCCCGTGGGGCGGAGAAAACACTGCGCACAGGTACAGCACTTGACACAGCTCAAGGTCAAGGAGCATGCAACCAGACAAGCTTGCAGGTCCCCTGGCCTCCCCAAAATACAGCTGATCAGGTAACCACCGGTCGTGCATCAAGCTCACTACACTACCGGTTCCTTTGCCACCTCGGTGGCTCCGAGGCAAGGTGCCGGTCTACAGACCCCAGGTGGCAGGTTCTGATCCCGGCCCAGGTGCCCGCAATTTCACAAAGGCTTATTGTGGAGAAGGCCGTGTAACCCAGCTTTCTGTTGCACGTCAAAACACCCCAGGTGATCCAAATTAATCCTCAGCTCTCCGCAGAGATGTGCCAGATGCCCGACGTTGGTTTGGCTCGTAGAACCCCCAGATATAATTTTGCGCAGCCGGTTCCTTGTGCTTTCCTTCTTCGAAAACTAAAAAAGACAAGTGAAGATATTAGTCGCTTTAAAATGCAACCGGATACTAATGATAACAGCTCAAGTGACAATCCAGTGTTCCCTCTCACGAGTCGGTGTCGCTTTATTTCAGTGCGCGCTTTTCCCCGACCAGCCACTAATACAGGGAAATCGGGCAACCTGCATTCAAAAACAGCTAAGGTTATGAACAACACCCCAGCGAAGTGCCTTGGTCGGATTGCAAACCTGCAGACAAGGGACCTGCAGGTTACTTTGGGGCCACCTACCCAGTTCTACACGGTAAAGGCTGTGCGAAAGCCGGAGAAAAAACTTTCAGGTACGAGGCCACCTGCAACCCCAAAGCAAGTCGTTGGTGGCACCATCATATCCTAGTGTTATTTATATTTCAAACCTTAAACCATTTGGGTATAAATATATTCAAATTTCTTAGTGCAAAAAATTGGGAAGTTAAAAAATAGTAGAATATTCTTTTGTAATAAGTTCAAAACTTATCGAACCTTTTGAACTCCTTGGTTCGACCTCTAAGCCTCGGGCATGAATAACGTTTGCAGCACCTCCAATCGTAACTGTCTTGAACTGTTCAAAGAGAAGGACAAGACGGAAGACGGCAGTGAGGAAGATGAAGAAATTAAACGCCATCGGAAAGCCTAATTGAATCGACGCCAAAACATAGGTTGCCATCCTGTTTCTTTGCCAGAACAATGGACCTTCTTCAGAGTTTGGCCACGATCGTGGCACACCCTCGCGGTCATCGTTTGAAACACTTTTGGGGGCTCCGTCATCCGTGCCAGCGCCTGGCGTGTCTCCCGGCCTGTGTTTATGTGTGTTCTCTTGTTCTGTCTCTTACCATTGTCTACGATACGGGCAACCTCGTTCGTCTTTATAACCTAAAAGGATACTGAACCAAAATTTGGATTTCGCAAAATAAGGCCGCAGAAACGTTGAACGGGAAGCTATGAACTCCAAAACATCACTCATACATCGATATCTCAAACGGATGGCCGTACTTTTGAAAAACAAGGGCACAATCAAGCGAAGTTTTTTACGTCATTGTTTTCCGGGAGAATTTGAGAATGAGGGGAAGCGACGTCTCTTCTCTTCTCCTCGCTTCGGTTCACCAGCTCGACAGGACGTAGCGAGGAGGAGAGGGAATGGGAATCGTGACGTGAATTGTCTCGTCAGTCGTGTTTAATCGCAAACTTCTTTTCCAGAAATATGGCGATCCCTTAGAGATACCGCTGTATGACTGATGTTTTTGGGTTTTGCAACGTCCCGCCTATCCGTCTAGCCTTGTTTTGTGAGCTCAAAATCTCGGTTCACTATCCCTTTAAAAGATGGGCAGACCACCGGCGCCGGTCCATCGGTTACTACTGTCTACTCAGATTCACTTAATCGCCACTTCGGTGTCGCGTCGTGCAAGCAACTGAAAAAGGGGTCGGCTTTCAAGGCAGTGTTATGTAAGAAAAGTAATGGTGGCCAGTTTTGATCCCAACCCAATTAGCCACCTTGGGCGGAGCCTGTGAGCTTCGTTTATGAGCCCCGGCCACTACAAAGAGCTGATTTTGCTCTCCTTACGCGTCTAAGTTATTCAAGCTTATTGCGTGCAGTCACTTCGTCGTCCCGTGTATTACACGAGCGTACGGGGCATCGCCGTACCTGGGGCCATGTAAAGAAACTTGGATAGGGTGAAAGCCAGGCGGTCTTGATATTATGAAGGTTCGCTTGCACCAACAAACAGTAAGGAACGATACGTTAACCTCTGGCGAAGTGGGCCCTGCACACAGGGGAGTTCATAGTTGGTTGCCAGGGCGTTTTGTCAGGGTTCTGTCGGCGTAAGGCTTGCATCCATTTCGCTGGCTTTAAATTTTTTGCCAATAACTCGTTTCTTTGTTTTTACTTTTAATGCAGCGTACGCCTGGAGAATGGAAAGATTTATCCACTAATACTTTACTCAAGGGAGTCATCCCGAACCAGCGCTGTCTAAGCGACTGAGCGGATGAGAGAGACCCCCAAAAATGGCGCCTTTCCATTTCCTCCCCTCTCTCAGAGTCGGTGCATACAACGGGCAGTCCGTGGGACGAATGATTGCTACAAGTTTTTTTATTTCCCTTCGAGTGCAGGCATACGAGGTCTGCAAATGCAGATATGAGACCTGCAAACGTGGGTTGGGCGTGGATAACAAAACTGACACCTGGATAAGCATGTTTTCAAGAAAGTTGGTCTGAGCTACTAGTGTCACTCGTTCATGTCACTTCATTTTTTTTTTCTGGGAAATTGAATACGATTTATATACTGGCTCAGGCGTACATAGCGGTCACACATACATAAGGGTTGCAACCTTTTTTGCCTAGCCTCGCACGTTGTCTTGTACACACCAATCTCTTGTGGAAAAAAAAATTAAAATGACAATTTGTCATTGCCTCGAAATGTGCCCTCAGCAACATGAAATCAAACGGGGCTACATCAATTTTTTTCTGTCCGTTAGAAAATCTGCAACAAATTCGCAAGCTTAATCTTATCAAGGCTCGGAGGCTGATATTTGATATTTTTATTTGATCAGCATGGTAAACATGTTCTACGAATGTTTATGTACTCATTATATCGATTATATAACTAAGGTCAGGCTTGATGCTTGATATCCAAAGGTTACATCAAATTTCTCAAATATAGGAGCATAGAGTCACTACATAAGCTAAGGGAGCAAACTTGCCAAGGGACGCAGGCCACAGACACGGTGTCCGCAGGCGACGCAGGTTCGTGTAACCAGATGGTGGGCGCCACTGTGGTGGGCGCAGCCATGACACTTTCTGAGATTGATGCGGAAGGTTTCGTACTCCAACCTTGGTTATTTATTGTGTTCGTTATATACAAACTAACACAGAACATTTAACTAAAATTTTTGTTTAGTATTTATTATAATTTGTTTAATGCCTTTTACACGTTAAATTTGTCAGCGTTTCTGCGTACGGACCGCATGTACGAACCGAAACGGAATCGACAACAAGCAACATGGCTGCGACCAGTTGCCGGTGTTCAACGTTGCTGGATTTCGTTGTAAGTTCTTACATCGCTATAATTCGACAAGATATTTTTGAAAAGTCGACATACTATAAATAAATCTATAGCATGCCGTTCTATTTAATTAGAGCTGAAAAAAAAACAGTAAGGAGTAAAGAGATTTTAATCTGAGTGGTCGCCCGCTTCAACACAACGGTATCTATTCATCATTCTTTCTCGAAGTTTTGTTGTGAATGTATCAGTGGATATTCCTTAAGGCATGGATAACGGGGCATTTTCATCACCTTAAACGTTCTCCAAAGAGGAAGTAATAAAAGCTATGGAGGTAAATGCAACGTTTGGATCGAATGGAACTGTTACGAAGGTACCCAAAGGCAAAATTCAACGAGTTGTAATTTACGGAGTGCAGAAGCCTTAGCACACCAACTACGTTGTATTTTTCAACCCGACTAACGTTTTATGTTGATGTGGATTAATTTTTCCCGACGTAGCGTCGCAAACGCGGTTGTGATTTTTTTATAACGTTTTGCACTGAATTTTAATTAGAACACGTCTGAGCGCACTGTGGTGTCCGATTCTCGTCTTTGTGTCCTTGTGTTTTGAGCGCTAAAATCTATTCCAACGTCTGAAGGGTCCGGACAAAGAGTTTATATTTTACAATTCAAAAGACGATAACATGGAAGATCACGTAAATATCGTTTATTTATGCCATTTTTTATGTTATCATGTTTCGTATTGGTAAATCACCAAGGTATTTATGCATTTCTAGAGTTTACAGAAACACAAGAAAGAAGGTCCCAACGTTAAAAAAAAAAATTGTGACTCGTAATTTGGCCTTCCTCCGCAGCAACTCGAGACGGTCACTCAGGGCTTCCCTCACTCTGTTTTCTGCAGTCACATGCAATGACCACACAAACCTCTCTTCATCATTAAAAAAAAAGAAAAAAAAAGGATGTAGGTTTGGAGATGTATTGAGCTGTTGTGCACAAGGGCATCAAACCAACAAAAAAAAAAGGCCAAAGACCAGAAGAAAAAAAAAAGAAAGACAACCTTTGTTGTGGGCAAATTGGAATCAAACAGAAACATTATAATTTGTTTCATTCCGGAGTGAAGCCAAAAAATAATCTTTGAGATTTCAAGTTCAAGGGGAAAAATTGGGCATGTGAAACATACAAGGCGGAATACCATGTTGATTTATGACAGTTTCCTCCTCGCGTCAAATGCCCTTGCACTACGTGTTTGGCAGCCTTTTCACACATTGCTGGAACCACTTTTTGAAAGTGCCTCGTACCTTCGCCTTGACAGTTGCTTCCAGCTGAATGACTGCAAAATGACATCCTCGCAGGGATTTATTCATACCACAAAGTAGGTGATAACCACGGGGCCTGGTCAGGTCACATTCATGCGTGATCAAACATCTGACTGGTCGTACAACGTGCCAGAAAGAGGTTTGTACACGATTAGATGCTAGCTGATCACGGCCTCGGATTGACCGGTGCCTGATCGGGTTTGCCCATCTTTCTGACACATCGTATGTGTCAGAAAGCCCTTACTGGGCCCCCAGTGGTTATCATTCGTTTAGCAGCATGACGAAACCCTGCGAGGATGCCGAGGATGCCATTCCGCATTCATTGATAAGCTGGAGGCAGCTGTCCAAGCATGGGTACAAGGCACTACCAAAAAGTGGTTCCAGCAGGGCTTCGAGAGGCTGCCATAGAAGTGGTGCAAGGGCATTCGGCGCCAGGGGAAGTCTGACGAGTAGATGGATATATCTATCGACCTCTAAGTGACTGGTATCTGCAGAAAAAAAATTAATTGTAAATTAATATTAACCAAAGCTTTCTTACGTCGTGAAAAGCAGCGTAACATATATACCGTAGAATACCGTGCATTCGCCTATTCCACATTAAGCGCCCATTACCAAATTTGTGAGATCTGAGAAAATATGCACAGTATTTATTTTTATTTATTTATTTCAGTACCTTCAAGGCCCAGGGGGCATTACAGAAGGGAGTGGTGGAAAACAAAAACAAACAACAGGTAGTTAATTCAGAAATTTAACAGAGAATGAAAAATGCAGACAACACAGGTTATTGAGAAAGTACATAACACTCAATGGCGGATCTGAAAGTGAAATTGTCGGTAGTCGTTATGATGGAGGCAGGCAGGTGGTTCTATTCGTTACTAGCTCTTGGAATAAATGAATCAAAAAACAATTTAGTGCGACAATGTGGGACGCCTACTTTATTATGGTGGTCCGAACGAGATGAGACGTATGATGGCTCTGAAAAGAGTTCAGTTTTGAGGTGCAAGTTATAATGATATATTTTATGAAATGGCGTGAGTCGCAATATTTTTCTGCGCAGAGAGAGGTTTGCAAGGTTCGAGGTCGCCTTCATAGAGGATACGCTAGATGAACGGGAGTAGTTTGACAACACAAAATGCGCGCTGCGATTCTATATCGATTCTAATTTATTAATAAGAAATTCCAGGCCTGGGTCCCACACCGAAGATGCATACTCGAGTTTAGAGCGGACGAGAATTTTGTAGAGGAGAAGCTTTAAAGATGATGGTGCCATAGAAAAGTTACGACGCAAATATCCAAGCATACGGTTAGCGTTATTTACTATTTGTTTGACATGCATTTGCCAAGACAGATTAGCTGTTATGTGAACCCCTAGCTATTTGTATGGCGTTACTTGTTCAAGTGCACTGCCTGAAAGTTGATAATCGTAAATGCTGCCACAAACGGTCTGATGCATAATTCTTATTACTTTACACTTGCTAGTATTCAGACGCATTTTCCAGATATCACACCAATTAGAGATTTTGTTAAGGTCAGACTGAAGCACATAGGAATTGGAACTGGCAGAAATGACTCGAAAAATGACACAGTCGTCAGTAAACAACTTGATGGATGAGTCGATAGACTTAGGAAGGTCATTAATGTAGATGAGAAAGAGAAGAGGGCCAAGTACAGACCCTTGTGGCACACCTGAAGTAACGGGGGACAAGGATGATTTGAAGTCGTTAGCAACTACAAATTGGGTTCTGTTAGACAAGAAGCTTTCAATCCATGCGAGAATGTTAGGGTCAATAGTTAATCTGCTTAATTTTAAATAGAGTAGCTGATGAGATACGAGGTCGAAAGCTTTAGAAAAGTCCAGAAATATGCAGTCAACATGAGATGCATTATCTAAAGCAGCAAAAAGTTAATCTGTAAATAAAATGAGTTGTGTCTCACAGGAGAAAGTCTTACGAAAGCCGTGCTGGCATGATGTAAAAAATGCATTACTCTCAAGGAAACTAACAAGGTTAGAATAAATTATATGCTTTAGGATTTTACAAGGAACACTACTTAAAGATATCGGTCTGTAATTAAGGGGAGAATGCGAAATTCGTGATTTAAACGAAGGTACCACCTTGCCCACCTTCCAATCGCCGGGAACAATACAGGTATCTAGGGACTGTGAAAGTTTCGACAAAATTATGGAGGAGTATACTTCGGTGTTCTTCAGAAACTTTGAGTTAATATCATCAGGTCCAGATGACGAACAAACTTTTAATTTCGGATGAAATGCATCACACCAACCCAGTCAATCAGCACAGGATTCATAGGAAAAAAGCTTGAATCAGCAACATGAGGAAGACAAACGGAAAGTAGATTCAAGAACGGCTTTGCAAGCACTTCATTAAACACAAAGCAGCATTCAAACTGAGGAATAGTCACATCATTGTCGTCGTTTAGGTATATCTTATTCTATTTCGGACCACCACCGACGTTCCAGAACTTTTAGCGTTGTTAATCAGTAACGAAGGAAGTGTGTTATTGAAAAAAATGTTAGCTTCTTTCACTGCACTTTTAAACAGAGCTGTAAATTGACGATAAGCACACCAGTTGACATGGCTCTGACTTTGTTTGGCTTTGCAATATAATCGCTTTTCTTATTTGAAAGACGCTTTAATGGAACGTTGAACCAAGCGGCTCGATGCTTGCATGAGATTACGCGTAATGGTATGTATTTTTGTACTAAATAATTCACCTTGTCCCTAAAAAGATAAACATTTATATGTGAAATCGATGACCGGACGAGCGCCCACCCCCATTTTTTGCGATTATCTCCAAAGTTTGAGTGGGCGCTTTCCCGGTATTTTATGCCACACACGTTTTTCACATTTCTGTGTGTTTCTTTCTGACATGTTCTTATAGCGTGTCAACTCAGCCAATTTATCAAAACATTAGGGTGTTCTTGAGAGCTGTCACACACATCTTAGGATATGAGAACCTTCCTCTGTTTCTGACAAGCATTTATGCTCCCACTCACAAAGACCGACTTTATAATACATGCGGATCCTTTGTCTAGAACTAAAGGCTAACATTGATCAATTGAATCCCAGTTAAATGCCTCTAAGCAGAGAGAGTGCAATGTCATGCAGTACTTCACACATTGGTGCAATAGCCGTTGGCATTTCTGCGACCCTGGTCAGCGTGGAACAAGCTTTCTCTGTGCAAAAATTAATTTTAACGGCTAAGAGGTTAGCTCAAATTTGGAATATTATTTTTGTTCCGCACAATATATTATTAGTTTTCAGCTTTGCCCTTCTAATAATTAACATTTTGGTAAAACGAAATGTAGACTGTTTCTTACTCTCTTGAATTATTTTATTACTATGTTAATGTGAACCGGTTCGAACCGGCATGAGCTTCAATTTTTTACTACTCAGCTGATTAAGACCTGAACCGTTTTCCTTGAGCCGGAATGGAAAACATTTCTCTTCGACACCCTGTTGGGCGCACATCTCCATTAATAAAAAAAATGGAATTCATGAAAAATAATGTTTAGACTAGGGAAACACAGAAAATCGACTATTTTAAAGACACTGAATATATAGTCTTGGAGTGAAAATATCTGTGTCGGGCTGTGAGGGAATATTTCGTTGGAGTTAGAATGCAGATGTCATACCAAGAGCATCTATGCCAATGTCGGAGCAGACAGCAGAGGTCATCTACTCCAACATGGCCTTTATGCCATGGC